ATTAGAGTAGATGTGATGGTGAAATACTAGTTCTATGTTACCGAAACCGTCCCAGGGACTTCTCTCTGTTCCTAAATAAGTTGAATATAGTTTACCCCATTCGTTATGGCTGCATAACCTCTACTGGGGAATACAATAAACCAGTAACTTTTCTATAATCCGTTTGTAAGGAAGTAGAATATGAAATTCTCTCGGTTTCTTTTCATCATAAGTTTATGCAACTTATAAGTGCTCGGATTCCCATTATCAGCAAGAGATAGTGTTGCAAAATATTTTAAAGAGAAGAAAAACAAATACAGACCTTCAGCTTGGCTCCTAGCTTCTTATAGTCACTCGCATGCATCCCTTTGCAATCAATCTTCACCAATGGACATCCTTCAAAAGCATTCCTTACTTCCTTCACGAGTTTAATGTAGACTCCATTTTTTGCTATGTTGGTCAGGAACCAAAGTTACTCAAGTAAGCAGTTTGGAAATAACGATTCAAAGTCATGGTATGTAAACAAGTAAAACCTTTATAATTTTCTTCTCATTTTTGAAAGAATATAACACGGAAAGTAACACATCGACTCATCTCTCCAACTATTTCACGTTTTGATGCACAAATCTATATCCACTGCATTGCGCTAGAATGACTATAAGAATGCATGGTAGATTGCATACCTAGTTTACATATAGGGAGCAACTTTTTCCCTTTTTCTCGAAATTCATCAGCTTCTTCTTTGGTTAGCCCTTCTGGAGCTTCCTGTATAAGCTTTGGATAAACTGGTGTAGCTGGCTTCCATAGCATCACTGGAAGCTGTGGACGCAAATGATGAGCATAGTTCCTACCTCGAAAAACATAAACTACGCCACCAGCTCGAGAAATGATCTTTCCGCCAGTCTTTTCCTGGTAGCAAACAAGAAGCATTTAGATGCAACAAATAAGTATTTGTACTTCACGATTCAGGAATAAATGAACCCGCTATTTACCATAACAAAACATTAAAACAATAGCATTTGAAAATACTTTTAATCTAGTGCCAGTATCAGAACCTCAATACAGCGGCATAGGTTGTCCATATCAACAGTTGGAACGCCTAAACACCGAACTTTGCAAACAGGTTGTCTTCTCCAGTGGGTATGTATTAACTCCAACATGTTATGTGTTAATCCATCCCGACCTGTTCAATCCAACGTATCGATGAGATTGAACAATCAAGATACCCTTGTGCAAACACAAGAAATTGAGACACCTCAATAAAAGTGTTCTCTAAATTTGAAACCTAAATGGCTTGAATAATGTGCACAATTATAAACTGAAATCCTCATTCTAGATCACAGTAAGACTACTAGAATAGTTGTACAACTATAGAAGACAGTAAACATGGTCAATTATCAACCATTAATGATCAAGAATGAACCTTTATTAAGGTTAAAGAGAAACAACAGAGAGCCAAATGCTAATTCAAGCATAAACTTGCAAGAATCAAATTTACATGAGATAAAACTAGTGTTAAAAATAAACTCTTACCACTCAACAACCAAAACTGATGATGATGATGATAATAATAATAATAAAAGTAGGGTTCAACTCAACCAAGTTGGTCAGGCTGTTGACTCAGTAACTAGAAGTTCCAAGTTCAACTTCCAATTAGAGCGGTCTATTGGCGGTAACTACAAGGAAGTTCAAACTTGGAAGCGGCCTATTGACTCTGAAGCGGTCAACTATGTACAACATACACTGATACACTATTTACCTCTCTAGGTCCTTTGACAACTAGAGTTATCAGACAAGATTTACCTAAAACAAATTCACGGGTAGTGGCTGCGGGTTTCGCGTCATAAAAAAAAATAATAAATAGATAAAAGCAATAGACTTACCCAGATTAACCTGTCGATTACAAGAGATTGCAGGTTTCAAAAGCTCCTGAATTTCGGCTCTTGTTAATGGCGGCCCAAGCACATCTTTCCGTGGCCTCACATGATACTTCCCAAGCTCATAAGCCTTCAACATTTCATATTGATATTGCTTGGTATCATTTCCATCAAGTTTAGCTGCAGAATCTAACGGCTCAAAAAGCTTAATCTTTTTCTTTGATTTCTTCAGTGGAGCTTTCCCGGTCCAGGGCCTAGGCATTGTGGGCGGCGCAAAGGGCAAGAAAGCTGGTTCCCGGATTGCCAGGGGCTGAGCCTTGGGCGTCTCAGAATAACTGTATTGGAACTCAAATGGAGCCCCGGGGAGGCGGTATGACACGCCAGAGTCACCGACGATGACGGCGCGATCCCCATCCGCTGAGATGACTTCCCCTGGCTTAACCGGCTTGTGGTATTTGGAGTTATGGTGGTGGGTCTTAAACCCCGGGTTGTTCTTGGGTTTCTGTAGAGGTTTTGGATGATTGTTGGATCGCTTTTGGAATTTTAAAGGAGGTGGGTACTTGGGTATGGGGATGGGTGGTTGTGGAGGCAGTGCATTGCGGCGGGTATCACCGGAAGAAGACGGCGGCGGAGTGGTGGGCAGATTGGAGAAGAGGTCGAAGCCTTTCAGTGTTGCTAGAATTGCCATCAATCAAAGCAATAATCTTGAGAATTACACAGCGAGAGACACTACCAAACAACACATATTCACTGCTGGCAATTCCTGGACCTATTTACAGCAGAAAAACTATGTTAAAATTCCAGGTACAATGTACATGGAAACAGAGTGAAAAAACTTCAAAAAACACAAAAGTTTCCCAACATCCAGGAAACTATTGATTAATGAAAGTTTAGAGAACTAACATAAAATGCAAACCTCACAAATTGAGCAAACAATAGCAAGTAAAAAATGAGTTCTCCCACCCCACTGCATCAAAGGCAGTAGCACTCCACTAGGAACAATACCTTACAGCTCAGACATTTAAATTCACAATCAGCAATTAACTACACAATGTCATGTAAGACTTCCAAGAATGCCAGCTTCATTCCAGTGTACTGAAATGAAGTTCCAATTTCAGTCCAGTACAATGGGATGAAATTCCAGTGTTTAACACGGCCGTGTCAAGCACTGGAATTCAATGTTCAAAGTTCAAAGTTCAAACAAACAAAAATCAATGTTCAAGCTCCAACTCAATCAAGCCTAGAAAATAGAAGTTAAAATCAGAAATCAAGTTCAAGGGCTCAAAGGCAATCAAATTTTTTAAATTTTTTGGTCTTCTTCGACACTCAAGGCTCAAGCAATCAGAAATCAAAAATCAAAAATCAAAATTTCTACTTTCCAGCTCTGAAGACAGAAAAATAAGGCCGCAATCGGAGGAGGAAGAGTACCGTTCGTCGGTGAGCGAGTGAGGCGGCGGAGCAGGCAACCGGCGAAGAACTCAGAGGTGGTGGACAATGGAGTTCACCGGCGACGTCGCGAGGAGCTTGGAGGCGGTTCTATTGCGACGAGACCACTGCCAGAAGATGGGATTACGCCCGGAGGAGATTTTTTTTGCCGCAGTACCTTGTCGTTATTAACGACTGATTTTGCACTCTTGGGATTTTTTTTATTTTTTATTTTTTGAAATCAATTGGGAAAATAATTTGTTAAGAAATAATTATTTACCATTATTGATAGAAAAAATAAATTAAAATTTTGCGTTTGTGACAATTTAGATGTAATTTTTATCTAACCCTTTAAATTACAATAATTTTAATTAATTTTACCATTTAATGTACAAATTATTTGACTCAACTCGATCCCTTTCATCAAAGAAGAAAAAATTCACAGGAATAGAGTTTACTTAATGATCACCATTGAGTAATTGTTGTGATTCTTATTCTCACAAAAAAGAAAGGAAAATTTTAAATGTTAGTGTATAAAAAATATTTATGCTAATTTTATTTTTCAAGGGGTGAATTTTACTTCTTCATTCCTTTTTGGTGATGAGAGATTTGCAGCCACTATTAGATATAGTGTACATTGGATAAATTGCACACTACACATGATACATAAAGTTATTGAATATTGTGACGTCACAACATTTAATCATATTCTTTTAATTTAATTGTTTTAGCATGTCATCGACGTTCATTTGTTTGTCACAATAGTTCTCCGTTTAAAATTTTGTCATTCTACTTTTAACAAAGATGACTATCATGTAACTTTATCATCCAAGCATCTTATTCCAACATGGAGTTAATATTGGAAAGAGTTAATACCCAATATGGTCCTCGACTATAGTGGTTTTTTTCAATTTCGTCCTTAACGACTTTGATGACCTAATGTAGTCCCAGACTTGTGTGTTTTTGCTCAATTTAGTTATCTGTTTGTTATTTTGTTAAATTGGTGTTAAATAAAGGGACAATTCAGTAATAACAATATTGTTCTCTCTTTACTCTTAGCCTGGCGAAGTGCGAAATTCCTCATTCTTTTACGAATTACTCCAGACCTGCGAATCAAATTTTATATTCGCAGATTTGGGAGTAATTCGTAAAAGAAATATGGATTTCGCACTTCGCAAGTCTAGGAGTAAAGAGATGTCAATATTGAAATTAATGAATTGTCCATTTATTTTACACTAAATGGATGGAATAATAAACGGATGACTAAATTAAGCAAAAACACAAAAATTTGGGATTACATTAGGTCACCAAAGTCGTTTAGGACGAAATTGAGAAAAACTATTATAGTCGAGAACCATTTTGGGTATTAACTCATTTCGGAAATGGTTCATTGACTATTGAAATTTACAAATTTTTATCCATAACTTCTAATTTTACCATAAATGATCTATTGATTATTGATATTAACAATTTTCATCATCGACTTTCAATTTGATCATTAATAGTCACTTGACTATTGATTTTTTTCAAAATTCGGTCCTCAAATTAAATGTCATTTAGTAAACATTAAATTTAAGCGTAATAATACAAAAATTTAGTTCTTCACATTCTCACTAATGATTTTTTTTTCTCACTAATGATTTTTTTTTTTTTTGAAAACCAGAGAAACGAGATTTAAATTTCTTAAACTAGCATAGTCAGCAAGTACATAGGAGGAAATTAAACGTGGAAGAGAAATAAAGAAATCATGCACCCCCTCCCCTGAATTAACGCATATTTTGCTAGGAAATGAGCCAGAACGTTCGCATCTCGCTTTACAAAAACAAAATGAGTCAAAGGTAGTTGCATCAAATGCTTTCGAATTTCGTCTATAATCGCTCCAAAAGGGGTGTAATTTTGGCCTGCGGACACTGCATTTGTCACCATTTGTGCGTCAGTCTCTAGGACAACCCGAGGCCATCCTCCCCTCTTTATCCAACTCAAAGCCTCAGGAGCACCAATGGCTTCAGCCTCCTTTACAGAATAGATTCCTTCAATCATAGTGGTTGCAGCTCCCATAACTACTCCCTCTTCGTCACGTAGAATCCATCCATAACCCATGCGGCGGTGCTCAAAATCCATGGAGACATCAATATTTAACTTATAATAGCCTGGCGGTGGGGGGCTCCAAGCAACATCACGAATATGGGGTTGAACAGCATGTGGCGTGGCAGTGTGTGATGACTGGGCAGCCTTCCAGTTTTGCACATAAGCTAAAGCCATGCAAACCATTGTTCTTTGATCCGTACTTTGAGAGTCCCATACCATTGAATTTCGATTTTCCCATATAGCCCAACAAAGAGTTACCACCTTTTCAATCATGTGGTTAGGCAAGGCAGTCCACATCTCCTCAATCCATAGCTGAAGTGTGCCAGGCGAGTCCATAGACCACCCATGGTCTACTTCTTTCCAGCATAAATGTGCAAAGCTGCACTCGGCAAACAAATGGATCGCTGTCTCAGGTTCTACTCCACACAATGGATCGCAAGCTACCTGTTTTACAAGCAATACATCTTTAGTTGGCTGCTTCAATTTACACCTGGCCCAAAAAAAACATTTTATCTTCAGTGGTTGATGTAAATTCCAAACAGCAGCCCACAGTAACTTATGATCTTGTTCCAAGTTACCAAAGGCTAATCTATATGCACTTCTAACCGAATACAACCCATTGTTCTCCCTTCCCCAATACATCTCAGCAGGTTCATAATCAAAAGAGCATCACGAGGGTCAAAAATATCCCTTAGCAGTCCCATACCATGGTTTATACCTTTGCTTGTTCTTCTTCCTTGTGTGGATTTCTACTTCCTCTCTACTCAACTTCCACCACTTCCACTTCCTAGACTCCTCATTCAAATCACACAAACAACAAACAAAGAAGGAACCTCAAAGATTGAAACAAATGAAGGAAACTAGAAGCAAAAGAATGAATGGATGAGAATGGAAGCCTGGATACTTACTGTGTTTTGCTTCTTTCTTTCAACATAGCTCAAGAGAGGAGATGCAAGAATGAAATCAGAAGACAACAAATGAATAGTGAAGCTTATAAATGGTGCAAAACCCTAGGATGATCTTCAATGATTGGTTGGGGGCAAAATGGTAATTTGGCTTATTTCTCGCAAAGATTAGACAAAGTGGTAGAAAACTCTTGGTTCACTTTGCATCATGGACCAAGGTCTAAAAGTGAATTTTGGATAACTTGGGATCAAAAATAGATTTTCTAAAAATAGTTTCTAGTTAAAACACTTGGTTCTGGTTTCTCAGATTCCTTTCCGGTTTCACTCAAATTGACTGTTTGGATCAAAACTTGGTACATAAATGTACCCAAAATTTAGGATTTTCGAAATAGGATAAGGCTTGGTGTTGAATTTATTTAAAAACTCAGTTTAAAATATTTAATTCAAACACCATTTTCGAAATAAAATTTTAGAAGAGTGAAAATGGCTATTTTGAAATTTTGTAAAATAGAATTTAGAAAAATTATTTTTGGGTTGTCACAAGACATGCTTACGAAATTGAGAACTTCACAGGTTAGGGACAAGGAGTTTCTAATCGATCCGGGGGGAGAAATATTAGTTTTTCCACCCTTTGTTGTTGACGAGAAGATTGATAATATTGTAGGTCGACCCCTTAGACTGGATCATTAGCAAACCGCCCCCGTGGCACGGAGCCAAAACCCTTACCGAGAACGAAAACCTAAATAACTCTACAGTACATAGGATCTGGTGTTGGGCACAGATTTGAGGAAAACAGGTTAGGATCTGGTGGGTATTAGGACAGACTGGAAGTATGATATCTGGAGTAACATCCTTTCAATTTATAAAGCCTAATCTTTGAATAGTCAAGATTCCCCGATCATAAGAGATCAAAAGGTCTTTCTCGAGTGCATGCCTTATAATAATTTACTTATGACGGTATGACCTTAAAGTATAATCCAAATAGATCAATTAATGTACATTCAAATCGTCAGAATAAACAAGACACATGAAACAATTGTGGCTGCCCTTTTGCACCGACAGTTGTCCTGGAGACACGTGGTAAATTAAACATGTGGGGCGCTTGGCATGTGCTTCATGTTTTCCCTTATAAATATCACATTAAATGCTTAGAGGACGAATTTTTGGACAATTCTGAAAAGATTAACTTGGATCAATGGATCGAGAACGTTTGACCTTTTTGTCTAAAACATTATAAAATACATGCATATAATAAGTCACATCAATCATGTTATGTGTCTTCAATTTATTTATAAATACAGAAATCATTAACTACAGGTATAAAATATGTCAACCGCAGATACAGAATATAAAGGTTATTTTTTTACTAGGATCCACAATATAAGGTAGACCTGATCCATATATAATTTGTTCCATTTGAGCGACTTGACCCATATTGGACTTGCTTATTGGGTTAGTTATGGCTATGCCCGTTTTAAGGTTTGCCCAAAACTTTAGGGAGCGTTATGTTGTGGACCCGTGTTTACCATGTGCACGGTGGATATGTTGTACATTCATAATTTCTATATTGTATATTTATAATTTCTATATTGTAGATTCATAAAATTTATAATGTAGATTCATAATTTCTATACTGCACATTCATAATTTCTGTATTGTATATTCATAATTTTTATACTGTAGATTCATAATTTTTATATTGTAGATTCATAAAATTTATAATGTAGATTCATACAGTACAGAAATTATGAATGTGTAGTATAGAGATTATGAATCTACAGTATAGAAATTATGAATCTACAGTTTATAAATTATGAATCTACAATATAGAAATTATGAATCTATAGCGTGTCTACCATGCACACTGTGAACACGGATGCATAGCATAATTTGCCAAACTTTAGGATCACATCCACAGTATTGATTGGGCCTTGGGCATACTAAAAGAGGAAATAAGCTATCAAAAATGAGCTATTTTTCAATGGTAAACAAATATGCAGTTAAACAAACAAATAAATAAAGAGTGATTCTCTCCTGTGAAATTACCTCATGGTCCTTTAATCGTGAAACAGATTGAATCAATACAAAATATAATACACATACTGAAAATTTAATACTAATCAATATTAAATATTTATTACTTGTTTTGAGGAAAAAAAAAATTTAAAATCAAAATGTAAAATATTACATTTTCATCTTCACGACTCATCACACAAACAAGAATTTGTGAGACACGATCTTACACAAATTTTTGCCATAAATAAATAAACAGTCATAAAAAAAGTGATAAGCGGATGCGTTCAGCAGCTGCATGAACGACACGGAGCTAGAAACGTGGCATGCTCTCAGTTAGGCACGGTGGATTTGGGCTGCGCCGCCGGCCGCGGGTTTCCACCGCCCTTCTTCTACAAGCCAATACGATCCATATATATACATGTATGTATGTAGCAGAAGTAACTAGGATTGTGTGGCATATATATATAATATACAGTTTCGAATTGAAGATGCAATCTGCGAAGCAGAAAGTAAGCGACGCAGCTGCTGCTGCCAAAGAACACCTCGATATTCTTGCAGCCAAGACTGATGAAAAGGCATTATATTTATACATGTTTCATCTTCTTTTACTTTAGTTTTGGGCTGGCGTGATAGAAACATGCATATATTTATTTTTATTTGTTGGTGGGTGTTTTTATCAATTAATTATACCATGAATCAGGATTTATATATATATATATATATATATATATATATATATATATATATATATATATATTCATTTTAAACTTTGATTTCAAAAATTGTGTCCCTAATAATTAACACATTCTGTATATTTAATTAACAATTATTACCAGGACTATGTGGTCCAATGGTATCCGGGTTGGACTTCCATTTGGAAGGTTGTGAGTTCGAGCCTCAATGGAGGTGTTATTAGCTCTTTGTGTTTCAGTAGGTTGAGAAAGTATATGAACAGATACTACAATGTAATAGAACTATTAAGTGCAAGTACAGAATATATTAAACTATAAATATATAAAATGTTAGTTAATATTAACTATATTAACAATTATTAGGTGGAGAAAGCAGCGGCGAGGAGCAAGGAGGAGAAAGAGATAGCAGTGGAGAGAAGAAAAGCCAAAGAGGGTGAAGCCAAGATGAATCTTCATGAAGCCAAAGCCCGTCACGCTGCCGAGAAACTGCAGGCCAAGCAAGCTCATCTTTACCATGGCGCCAACCCGGTAGTTGGTGGTCAAGTAGGCCACCACGAACCCGTCGGCACGGTGGCTCCGACCACCGGCGCGGTTATGCCGGGCTACCCTCTGGGAGGCTACCCCCATGGCCATGGACGACACACTAGAAATATCTAGCCGGTTGGCCAGTTAATTAGCTACTGATAGTTCTTTGGTGCAATTATATGTCTTTTTAGTTTTGTTTTGTTTCATTTCTTGGGGTTATTGATCTTTGATCTCCTTCCTATTTTGGATGCTGTTGTATTTGGTTGTTTGTTTAATTTTCATGGTTAAGTTGTTGTTATCTTTCAAACTCTCATTTGCTTGGCTTTCACATCCATATGGGATGAAAATATTTAATTTGGGGAATAGTTTTTAGTTAATTAAACATTGTCAAAAAAAATAATAAAAAAATCCCAACAATTAAATTCAATAATAATTGCAGGCAATTCAATATGTTCGATTGAAATAATTTTGTAAAAGAAATCATTAATTAATGTGGTAGGCATCTTTATCTTTATCCTTTTTTTTTTAAAAATCTTTATATCTTTATTTTTTATCTTCTTTATATATACATTCTTTCAAAAGAATGTATATATACATAATAAAGCAGAATCTAGTCACAAAATTTTTCTCTCAAAGTGTCTATCTATATACATATTTTTTGAAGTTATTATGTGTATTTATATTTTATAAATTACTCCGTATATTTTATTATTATATATCTCTATATATTAAAGTATATATTTATATTTTATAAATTATATATTATTATTATATATCTCTATCTCTATATATATTAAAGCATAATGAAGTATAGAAAAAAGTTTATTGTATTCAAATTTATTGGTAAGCATATAGCCATTAACGTGCAATCCAACTATCAGCTTAACCTTTTAGTTGAGATGGAGCACATGCTTCAATTTGGTATCAGAGTCAGACTAAAGGTCATGGGTTTGAATCTTAAAATCACTCGTAAGTGACTACGGTTTATCGGTCCACGTGTTGCTTGGAACCCAACCCACCTCACAAGTGACTACGTTTTATATTTAATATAATTTGTGTGCGTATATATCTATTTAAACCACTATTGGTAAATTTGTTAAGTTAATTACTTACAGTTTTAATCAAATTAATTTTAAGGTCAAGAACTCAAGTACGTTTTTCTGTTTCCACAACCATTACTTTCTTTATTAATTCAAAGAATGTCAAAAATTTAATTGATAAATTTGTTAAATTAATAATATATAGTTCGTGCATCGCACATGACAATTACTAACTGTCTTAAAAACATAATGATTGAATTATTTATAAAGTTATTTTAGATATAATAATAATAATTAAATTAATTAAAAGATTATTTTAAACTTTTTAATATATGCTTTACATATTAATTTTTTATAAAGTAGTATCTGTTTTATACATACTTTTTACCACTAAAGTTTAATATCTTGATCAACAGATGTGTCATCAACTATATAGTAGTTGATACATACTTTTCGTATGTATATATAAACATGAAAATGTATCATATCAAATTCTTGTCACTAATTTATAGTGGCGGTGATTTAGATCGGTTTTCTCGAATTGAACAGTATCAAATTGAAGTAATCGGTTTGGTAATATATCGAATTAATAAATGAATAGTAATACATTTTTGTATACCGAGCAATTTGATAAAAATTGAATCGAGTTGAATATTGTTTGTTTTTTTTTTAAATAATAATAATAATAATAAAATAATAATAATATTTGTAATTTCGAATGGTTCGATAAAGAATTGAATACTTTTTTTTATAATAAAAAATTGCACTTTCGTCACTAAGTTATAGGGTAATTGTAAAATTCGTCTTTGAGTGATGGTCATGTTCATTTTCGTCTCTAAGTTATCATTGGCATTGCACTTTTCGTCATTTCGTGCTCATCATCCTTGAGTTATATCAAAATTACAAATTTCGTCTCTAATGTTTTATTAGTAAAGAGACGAAAAGTGTAATGTTTTGGTCATTGACTATTAATTTTTTTCAATTAAGTATATGACTATGTAATTTGTATTACATTTGATCATGTCGTTTAATTTCTCGACCAACTATTATTAAACAAGTGTTCTTTCGGAAAGGGGCATCACATTTGCTTCTTTTAGAAGGAGCACTACATGCATTTGCTTATTCTAAATGAAATACTTTTGGCAATAACTGGCCGAAAAATAAAATTATAGGAACATAGAATCGACTGTGATACAAATTATATAATTATGTATTTAATTAAAAATTTTTAATAGTCAAGGACCAAATGTTATACCATAAATGAAATGTATTCTTATAAATAATTACATACTCCAAGACTGAGAACTTTGGAGGGGTATTAATTAGAAGAAGAATAGTTGGAGGGTCTGTCTATAAATAAAAGAAACGAAGCTGTGTCTCAACTCTCAACTGTCGAGTTAGTAAGTTATTGTAACAGTATTCATCAATAACAGGTTTTCCCGAATCCTCCTGATTTTAAGTTCTAAACCAAACAGGCCCTTCCATGGCGGGTCGGGGTCAACCCAGAAACGCAACCCGAAGAGCTTCTTCATCTTCTTCAGCTCCCCCACCCCGCAAGTTCCAGTCCAATTCCCACCGGAATGTCAAGCCTTCCACTTCCGACGTCCCAATTCAAGAAACTCCTCACAACTTCAGGAACAACAATCCCAACTCCGGCAATCGGAGAAGAGGCTACAAAGGCCCCGATATTGACGAAGACGACGTTCGCAATCTTCCCTCCTTAGTTGGAACCTGCCCGTTCATGTGCCCCGGTACCCAATCCCTGTGTTTTCTGTAAGCGGCTGTGTTTTCTCCCTTTTTTTTTCTTTTCTTACCAATATGAACTTGCAGTTGAGGAGAGGGAAACCCGAGAAAGGCTGCGAGATTTAGCGGTTTTCGAGAGGCTAAATGGCGATCCAAGCAAATCATCACCTAGTCTAGCTGTTAAAAAGGTATGATCTTTACTGCTCAAGCTTTAGCATGTACTTACTTAATTACTAGTATCCTGTAATTGCTTGATTTCTGTTTATTTATTTACTGAATTCAATAATTGATTTGCGTTTATTGTTTGCATCTTCTTTCAGTCTGCTTCTAAGTAGAATGTAACTGTGATTCTTATGTTTATTGATTATATTAGTTTATGGTCTATCCATTGATTGTTGGTCTTGCCAAAGTACCAAATTGAGGTTTCGGCCTTCGGCTTGTTTTGTAACATAGTTAGCTTATCAGTCAATTTTGACTTATTTGACCACTATTACTTGTTTGACCTGATTTAACAATTATTATGAATGTTTGATTAATTAGTTTTTTGTAACAACTTATTACTCCAAAATGCTAAATTCAAAATGAGCAGCTTTTTCGATAAGCTTTTTGAAAAAGTTATTTTGCATGTAATCAGCTATCAGCTAACAACTAATTTACCAAACACTTTTCTACAATCAACTAATGCTATCAACAAGTTAAAGCCACTAACCTAATAAGCTAACAACTATTTACCAAACAACCCCGTCATCTTTGAGTATGGGACTTGGATTCTGCTTGCAAAATTGCTTATAAATATTTTGTATTAGTTCTGCAGGACTATATCCATAAAGAATGTCCAAACATCTGATTTGCGGCCTCTACCAGTTCTGGAACAAACCCTTGACTATCTGTTTAACTTGTTGCATTCAACAAAACGCCCTTTCGAGGTGGTGCATGATTTCCTCTTTGATAGGACAAGATCCATAAGGCAGGACCTTAGCATGCAAAATTGCAGCGGTGACAGAGTGATATCTATGTATGAGAGAATGGTATGCATTTCCATTGTTTTAGCAAATTATCTTATCTGTGACTATATAAATAAAACCATTGAGAAGTCTATCCATAGCCATTTTCTAGATCATACTTACTCTGTCTCAAAAGGGTTGTCCAATTTTGTTTCCCAGTAATGTAATTTTGACCAATGTTTTAAAACACATTTCTTCAAAATTTGAGTTGTAATTCTTGAAATGAGTAATACATATATGTGTAGTTTCATAATATGTAATATGTAAAAAAAAAAAATTCTGATGTACCAACAAAATAATATGTAATTTTTAATTCAAAAGTTAAACTTAAGAGTATCAAAAGTCAAATATAGTCAAAATAACCACCAAAATAGTTAATAGGACAAACAAAATGGGAAGGAGGGAGTACATTTTACTTTCCTCCAATCACCAATGTGTCTGCTTTTTATTTATTTATTTTGATTTCAAACTAATCTATCTGTAATTGTATAGCGTGGATAGTTCAAACTTAATGCACTCATGGACTCTTAGTATCTCAGCAATAACATATGACAGCAACACTACTCTTTTTCCACTCAGGTTAAATTTCATATCATGTCCCACCACGAGCTTCGAAGATGTAGCGATCCTAATATCTCTTCAATGTTACACCTTAACATGGAGCAGCTCAAGAAGGCTCTAACAACTTTATTTGACCTTTATGAGGCAAACCGAACGTCAAAATTCATACACAAAAATGAAACTGAATTCCATGCATGTTATGTGCTTCTCCACCTCCGTTCTGAATGCCAAGTAAAAGTTCCTTGATGGGGATTTTTTTTTTTTTTTTTTTTTTTTTTTTTTTTTTTCCTTTTGGGGGGGGGGGGGGGGGGGGGGGGGGAGAGAGATATTTACTTGCAGCCTTGTTTTTGGCCTTATTTCTGACCTGGTATTCACCAAAATCTTTCACCTTCTGATCTGTAGGGAGATTCGTTATGTTTGTGGTTTCGCCAAGTTCCTTTGAAAATTATGAAGTCAAAGGAAATGTGTTTTGCCCGGAGAATGTTGAGGTAAGGTAAAAGGTATTGAGGACCTACTGTCTTTTGCTCTTAATCATAAGACTGATATCAAGAGGATGTTACTGTCAAGTAGTGACTTCACTTTTTACCTAAGATGATATCAAGAGGCTGTTGATTTATTTATTTATATGTGGATGCCACACTTTTAGTACTAATAGTTTCTTTGTACAGATACTTCCGTTTGGGAAACTACAAAAGGTTTATCCATACTGCAGAGTCGGATGCATCATACTTGCAGTACTGTATTATTGAACCCTACATCAGTGAGGTTATTCAAGATTCTCTCTCTCTAACACAAAAATTAACACTCATCCTTAGAGGCTGCTTTTAGCTCCCAAGTTAATTGTTTCCTCATCTTTATGCTACGGGATAGTGGCCATGCACAGAAGTATTTCCTCCTAGGATGAACATTGATTTCACTTCTAGTAGGATAGGGTATTCTCTTTTCTAACTTCACTACATTTCCTGTCATGTTTAATTCAACATCTGTGAATCAAGAAAAAGGACAAATTCAA